AGGGCCCCGGGCGCGGCGTGGATACCGGACAGGCGCGTCGACCTCACGGACAAAAGCCAGCACGTGATGCCGCTTCTCGTGCACACATGTGGGCCACATGCACGTGGCAGGAGGCATGCACACGACGGAGGCGCTTGCACGGCCCATGAGGCAGGCGCGGACATGTGGCAGGAGGTGCACGCACGTGGGAGCAGTGCGTGTTTCACACGTGGTGGGAAGCGGGCACATGTAGAGAGTGTACTTGTTTCACACGTGCTAGGAGGGTCACACACTTGGTCAGAGGCATGCCTGTTTCACACATGTTTAGGAGACGTGGATATTTGGTAGGACATGTGCGTGTTGCCTTTTCACACATGGTAGGAGGCGTGCACACTAGGTGTGCCTGTTTCACACATGGGAATTGTACCCATGTGCCAAGAGGTGTGGCTGTTCACATGCTTGAGGAGGTGTGCACACGTGTCTAATCAGCAGCCACTGAGCCCCTACGACATGCCACGCTCTCCGGGCTTGGGCCATTGGACCACACACAGAAGGACGGAACTGCGCCCCCAGAGTCCCCAGTCAGCACACATGTGCACACACTGCAGGGTGGTGCACATGGGGTCGCACACAAGGACAGCAGCCAGTGTACACCTGTGCACACACCTGCACGCACGATGGATGCCCACGCAGCAGAGTCACAGCAGGCCCTCCAGGGGTGTGTGCCGACCTTCTGTTCCTTGGCCGTCTGTACTTTCCACACGTGTGTCCGCGAATGGCCATGCGTGTGCACAGGGCGGTGCTCACCTCCCCTTCCTCTGCCTTCCAGGGAACACCCCATCGGAGACAAGAGCTTCCAGAGCTACATACGGCAGCAGTCAGAGGTCTCCACGCATTCCATTTAACGCCTGCAGCTGCATCTTGAAGCGCGGGAGGAGCTGGAAACAGCATGGGAGCTGCGCGCCTCAGCCCCCCGTGACGGGCCCACCACGGGCACTCCAGGCGTGTGCTGTCCCGTGCGGTTTCCCGCGCCGAGAACTGCTACCACCGCCACGCACCCGCCACTGACAGCCGGCAGCCGGCGACCCAATGCGCCTTCTGGACATGCAGTCGCTTGTTTGCATGTTCTGTGGTCTGTGGTGATCCAGCAGCAGTTGGATGGCGGAGCGGCATGGGCCTCGCTGTGACCACGCCATGGCCGCCCTCGAGAAACCACGGCTGGGTTACCGGCCACGGCGGCACCTTCGCAGAGCGCGTGCGTCTGCCTCCCGCGCATTGCCTGCTGGTCTCTGCACTCACACCTTGTGGCTTCCTGCCCCGGACGTCTGGCTCCCTCACGGCCGGAATTCGCAGAGCGCTGTTCCCCTGCCACGCCGAGGGTCCACACGGCCTTGGGGAGGCAGCCGCCCCGGGCAGCTTCGAGACTGGTTTTGTTCCTGGCTGGAGGGTCCGTCCCATGACCAGGGCCTTCAGAACCGCCCAGAAGTCCCGGCTGGCGGCTGCTCTGGGCCGGGGGGCACAGGTTCTGTCTGCAGAGAATGCCGGAAGGGAGGGGTCCTGCTTCCCGGGCGCCCCTCCAGCCCGGGTCACGCACAAGTTGTTTGCTGTTGAACAAGGCTTAACGCTAGGATCCACAGGCCCGCCACCCCTCGGGGGAGCTTGGGAAGGATATTCCAAATAGACATGTGCATTTTCAAGTTGTTTTTCTTAATGTTTTTTAAGGGCCGTTTTTAACTAGCTCTTTGCTATAACGTGACTCAGAACATCAAAACCTAGACCCGTGGAAGGCGCAGATGCCACAGAAGGCAGGTGGAGAGGGGGGCCGCGCGTCTCGGGAAAGCCAGCCCGGTCCTCAGAGGCCCTGGGTTCGAGGAGCCGGCCTTTGCGTGGCGTCCCGGCCACGAGCAGCATTTCGCCTGCGGCTC